TCATGCAGCGCTCAGCCACAAACTGGACATCTATAGCCCAGCCCTCCCCACAAGGCTCAGGAATCATGCTGGTAGAGAGGCCGGCAGGTTGGAAAAGCCAGATGGACTCAAACAGTGTTATCTGGACATGACAGAACAACCTGCACTCACAAACTTAGAGCAGCTGTGGCTGCCTGTGCACAACCAAGCCAGTCAACAGCCCAGCATGGCTCACTGTGCACAACCAAGCCAGTCAACAGCCCAGCATGGCCCAACAGGGTCCCCCACAAGCTGATGTCTCCTATGGGAAGGATTTGACTCCTGCTAAGTTGACCATGCTCCAGTGAAGGGCTACGCATCCATCTGTATATGGGCAACACAAACTGGACTTGGTGGGCTATGAGAAAGAAGGAGAGGGGACATGAGGTTGGGAGGGAGTGGGCATAATCTGTGAGAAGTTAGGGGAGGAGCTGGAGGTGACTGATGATTAAACACTTTTTATCTATTGTGAAAATAAAATATTAAGCTAAAAAGGCAAACAGAAACACCTTATGCATTGATTCTTTCCCATAATACATATTTTAACACATAATATGATACTTCAATTTTTTACATCAAAGCATACTGTGATGTATATTCTTGGTTGTCAACTTGACTACATCTAGAATTAACTTAAGCCCGAATGGTTGTACACACCTGTGAGGAACTTTTTTCTTAATTACTGTCAACAAATTCTGTGGTCACATCATGACATCACGCAGTTGCCCTGTTCTTTCTTCAAACACTGTTTGGACTGGACTATTTGTGTGTCAGGGGTAGAACACTTGCCTTGCATGTGTTGGGGCCTCAGCTTCATCTATACCTTTGTGACTAAAAAACAAACACACATGGAAGGAAGATTTCATGGGCATTACAGAGTAACTTCTTGAGTATGCAGTCACTGTCAAAAGCTTGGTTCCATCAATGTCATGAAAATGAAATGAACGTGCTTCACTGAGGACACGTGGGTGGGAGTGGACATGCATCATTACATGTTAACCTACAAGCAGAGCCTCAGGGTGGTTGGGAGCACCTCTGGGTCATCTCTGTGCAAAACTGACATTGACACTTGGAGTGGCTGCCCTCACTGTCCTGCCTCTGTTGACTTGCAGGCCATCTAGATGTTCTTGCCAGCTCTCAGGTATGGAGTCAATTCACGTTTAATGAAAAAGGTATTTAACTTTTTTTTTTTTTTAAAAAATACTGAATAGGTATTTGGTATCCCAAAAATGTGATCTACTATAATGCCAATAACTTGCAATTGGTATTTGGAGTATACTGAAAAAGGCACCTATTGTCATCCTTATTATAAGTGAATTCCTGGCAGCTAAGCTAAAAGCAATGGGGCATTTTGAAGATGGAACCTGCTTTACTTCACATGAAATCTAGAACAAGGTCTGACATCATGTTTAGCTGTCACCTTTGGTTTTTCCCAATATTTCCTAAGGTTAAACAATACACGGAGGCATCTCCACAAGTCAGAGTGTGGTCACTGTGATGTGCTCCCAAAACAGAGTCTGCATCCTGACAAACCTGAGAAAGAGGCCTTGTGGTCATAATGAAATTGCCACAGCCAAGACATGAAACACGACAGACTTCTCCCCCTAAAGCAAAACTCCTGGAGATAGGGAGATAGTGCACAGCATGGAAGCCAAGATCAGCTGCTGAGGGTCCAGCGGGACCCGGTGACTCCTGACCAGGTTTATTCTCAGGAGCTCAGTGGAGAAAGAGGATCTATAAAACACACAGCTAACAAAGCATGTCAGCAGCCTGAGCGGGGCAGGCTTGTCTAGATAGGAGAACCCTAATAAATAAACCAAGCACAACATTTATTGCCAACAATCATGTCACTGGCCCACAGAAAACCGGAGCCGCGCAGCTGGGAGAAGAGGAGCCTGCAGCCAGAGAAGGCCATGGAACATGCCCAGGCTCAATTATTTACGGTGTGCAGATGAAGAGACAGCCTTCCATATGAGGAACAGTTCAGGAGAGGAGGTGGCTAAACCAGGATAAGATCCAGAGAGCCAGAGAGTGCAACGAAAGGGACATGAATAAAAATGACAAGTAATAAAACAGCACAAATCAAAAATGCTGTAACTTTCAGAAATAATTTAAGGCCAAATGGGGGAAAATCTGGCTTTGGGACAATTTTCTGAGAAGCAAAGACATTAAAGCAAAACAAAAAGTGCTGAGTTGAAGACCCAATCTGCCTCAGTGCCATTCTAGCTATGAGCTTGGTGTTTTATTCAAAAAGGAAAAAAAGAAAAGAAAAAAAAGAAGCAAATCAGCAATTTTGTATTTAGCTGATGCAGGCTTTTTTTGGTCACCCTAGTAATGATCTGTGTGCGAGTGCGTGCGAGTCCCCATATAGCAGGGGTGCTTGTTGGGGTCCAGGCTGACCAAGGGCTGTCTCTGTCCTCATGCGGCTAGTGTTCTTAAAGCAGCTTCTGGTCGGTGTGTGCACATGACAATGGCAACAGCTTTACCAGGGAGAGCAGAGAGGCAATTGCAGAAGAAAGGTGCAGATCTGGAAGGCCAGCCTCCATAAATGCACGCTTTATACAGAGATGTGGATCCCTCTGGCTCTCTGTAGTTTCTGACCTTGCGATCTCTATCACAGGGCGATCTGGGCCGCTTTCAATGATTTTTATATACCGTGATGTACCTCCTTCACACCCGAGCCACCCACCTGCTGCTGTACCTTCAGGATCTTCCCAGCCTCTTCCTGAGGTGGGGCTGTCACTGCTATTTTAGAGAGAGCTGAGGCTGGAGACCTGGAAAGAGACTTCTCTCCAGTGACAGGGAATAAATGGCGAAGTACTTTATTCCACCCCATAGAGGTTCTGTGGGAGGACAGGCTGGAGCTGTGCCAAGATCCAAGGGGCGGCTCTCCTAAGCCTACTAGCTCAGTGACTCTCCCCACCACCAAGAGCCTTCTTCTGCTCTCTGTCAGCACTGATTTAAAGGGCCAGAAGCTCCTTATCTTGGGTGGTACCAGGACAGTTTGCACGATGCACAGGTGTACTTCTACAAGGTAGCATCTGAAGGAGTCCTTACCCACTTGCCCTTCAAGTCTTCACTCTTCAAAGGCAATGGGACTCAAACCCAGGAGCCTGCACTCTACCAGGGATCCATGTCCCCAGGCCAAAGAATGACCCCTCTCTTCTACCAGTCCCTCTATGTCATGAATTAGTGTCCTGGTAATGTGCTTTCGAAGTTCGTCAGCAACTTTAGTTACTGTCCTGACACACAATCTAGAATCAAAACACCCCAGCTTGTCACATGGTTCCAGAGACTGCCTATCTCTTATGTAAGTCATAGTGGAAGTCCCTACAAAGAGCCACCAAACTTTGTTCTGCCTGCCAGGTATGCATCCACCAGAATGGCCATTTTGTTTTTTGCCAGATTTTCTGAAATCCTGCTCTGTACCTGAGAACTGGATGGTCTAGAAATCATTTCAAAGTTTAATTTCAAATAGTATTCTTGGTAGATTACAGGTTTTATAATCTTTAAAATAAATCTTCCTAAAAATGAGCCAATTCATTGAGTGGCACAGGCAGACTATTTCACCACTAACGGAAGGGGTCTACAAACATCAAGCACTCGTTGGCTGCTGTGATCTCTTTGAAGCCGAGTTGAGGGTGATCAATAGACAGACTATAGGAAGATGCTTTGGAGCATCCAAACCAACACTCTTTCTCAGATCTGCAAAACTGTTAGCAAAAGAGTCTCTTTCCCACATTGTTGTAGTTACAAGGTACCTATGAACCTTTAAATATGTGATGTAAGACTCAGGAGCTTATCCACCAAAATTCCCTTCTTCCTTCTTGGTAACTTCCTCAAGCCCATGTCTGGCAAACAAAATAGGGCTGGGAGCATGCAGGGAAGCATGCCTTGTGGGAAGGTAGCAGGTTTAGAGCAATGAATGCTCAGAGCCTACTTCCCACAAAATGACTGGCAGATAGGATGGCTAGAAACTTCAAATGGCAACTTTTGTGATGATAATTTCTCAGGAATTTAAGAGGCTCTCAGTTACTCTTGAATTTCAAAGAGATTCTGGGCTGATGTGGGATTCCCCTCTATATGCTGTGATTACTATTAAGAATAAAGGAACTGCTTTGGACCTATAGCAGAGCTATAGGGGGATCAGAGCTAGGTGGGGAAAACTAAACAGAATGCTAGAAAAAAGGCATTAGAAAGAAGCCATGTAGCCCCGCCAGGGCCAGATGAAACTTTAGCTGCTTAACCACTGCCGCATGGTGATACACAGAAATGTATCTAGAAATGGGCTAAATTCATATGTAAGAGTTAGCCAATAAGAAGCTAGAAGTAATGGGCCAAACAGTGATTTAATTAATACAGTCTCTGTTTGATTATTTCGGGGCAAGTGGCTTCCTCCTTACAACACTGCTTTAGAGGAGCAGTTCCATCTACAAGTGACCAGCCAGCAACAGTCCTCCAGAGTTCCTGGAAGGGAGAGAAAGCAGGAGGCTCCGTAGCATCTGGACTGCACCACAGAGTTCACTTTCCAGGCTGTAAATCTTCTGGTCACAAAGACTTCCTGAAAATAACCTTCTACCATACAAGTAGATGTTTTTATTAGCTGAAGTATCAATGTTTTCTATTATTTTGAGATGGAACACTAGAAGACTTGCTGGTTACTCTTCAAAGAACTGTACACTTAACAGCAAAATAAGTGTCTTGAAAACACAGATTTTAAGGTAGAGAAAACATTAAAAAGATTGTTCTGGAGCATATTAAAATAAACCAGAGACTAATAAATATGGTCATTTATCATGTAACTATATACTATAGTTGTGACTACATTCCACAGTTGGAGAATTAACTGTTGATAAATATAATCAAACAGTATCAAAATAAGAGGACACATGTACACATATACTTAAACACACACACACTCAATCAAACACTCTCTCACACTCAAAAACTTGCAATCAAAAAACCCAATAATCTTCTCTACATTTCAATTTCTTAATTTGAACCTTTTATTTATTATGAGATAAAGTCTACAATATTAGAGAATGCATGGAGTTTTAAGGTGAGACAACATATGTTAGAAATGCATCCAGGGCACATACTTCATTTCTTAAGAAAATAAAACTATGCACAAAAATTACCTCAGGACACTGGTGCTGGCCCTGGAGGTACTGGATCCTTATAATTAAATACTAACAGGAACAGAACATGACAGAAAGGCCATAGTGTGACATTTCTTCAGCTGGGTGGCCTCAGTGTCACTGCCTTACTTCACTGGGGAACTCAGGAGCTCCCTGGTGAGAGAACACACCCAGGAGAGCCCAGAGTCTGGCGGGCTCCTCACAGTTGTGCTGGTGCACCCAGTGAAGAAGCAGGTCCTCCTTCCTCCCCAATATCTGGGCGCAGAGCAGGCAGTTAAAGCCTGAATGGGACCAGAGAAGCCTGGTGGGGTGCTGTGGGCTTCTCATTTCCCACTGGGCACCTTCACTTTCTGCCCACAGTTCCTCCCTGTTCTGATGAGGGGGCGGCTGTCTTTTCACATTAGGAAATGCTGGGGAGTCCTCTGCAGAGGCACAAGGCTTCACTTCCTTCCTTTTCTCAGTGTGCTGCTTCTGGTGCGGAGCACCCGCTCTGCTGCCTGGTAAGAACACCTCTTGAAGCCGGCCCTGGATCTCTTCCCCATGAACATGAAGTAAATGGAACTTAATTTCAGCAAAAGACTGAGCAGTGATCTGACAACGGGCACATCTGATTTGCAACTTGACTTCATCTGCCTGGTTGAGAAGGAAATCTTCTTCCAAACTTGACTTGGTTTCCCTGGAAAAGGGGAAAAATAGTCTAGATAAGACTTCCCAGGAAAATGCAACTGGATCTCTTGCTGTCATGTCTCGGCCTCCAGAAATATAAAGCACCCTGCTCTGGTGAGCTCTGCAAAGCCTCAGCAGAGGCCACAGCATGCAGCACCCCTAGGGCCCGACATCTTTGAGGCCATCAGGGACCAAGAATCCTGTATCTCCCCCTAGTGAACCACCTCCCTGGTTACCATAGGTGTAGTCAACATGAGAATTATGGTAGTATGATAAGAGCTGCCAGGGTACCCTGTGGCACTGCTGGAAATGATTGTCCCATATCATCCATGCCATCCCCACCACTTTGGCAGTTTTGACATCTTATTTCAAGGTGATCTGAGTATATGAAAGTAAGTTGAAGGGAGGTTCTATGGCACATTAGTGGAAAGCATGTTAGTGGGAGATGCAACGAACTCCTGGAGACAGAAAAGGCGAAAGACAAGAAAAAGCTAGGGCAGGCATCTTGTTCTTACCCACTATGTATATGTAGATCAATTGGGACAATAAAAAACAAGGAGCAGAGAACTAAAGTATTGGGCAGGGCTTCCTTCTCAGCCCTCAGCCATGTCGGCTGTGGGCATGAACCACACTGTGGGCACTCCCTGGCCACCACTGCTCAAGGGCTTGCCTTGTTAGTGTCCAGATTATGTAGCTTGTTGTTGTTGTTTTAATACTGTCAAGGAGCAGTGCTTATAAAACAGAGGGAAAACTTAATCTGGCCTGACAGGTGACAAAGGGCATGGCTCGGTGGAGTACCTTGGAGTCTGGTGAAGGGTATGGCCTCACATGATGTTGTGGGGTAGATAAAGCTGTTTAGATAAGAATTCTGTGAACAATAATTTTAGGGAAACTACTTTATACAAACTACTAAAAACTCTATATGGTAATCTCCTATTTTAATTTTCAGATGCAAAAGTAACCTGCCACCCAACTTTTCCTAGAATACTCAAACTTGCATTCATGCCTTGACTTACACAAGTGTGAATAATTAAACACAGTGACTGAGCAGAAACCAACAAGAAATGGGGTCATTCTTCAAAGAACTGAGGGGGTGGGACAAGGTGGCTTCTTTTACCTAAGGATAACATCTTCTGTTGTTGTTATTTTGGGACAGGGTCTCACACAGTCCAGGCTGACCTTGAATTCCTGATTTGACTGTCTGTCTGCCAAGTGCTAGGATTCTATGTACACCACCACTCCTGACTATGTTTTGAAATCTTAATCTTCTCAAATCACAACAGATTTTCTTGCCAGGCTTCCCTTCCTTGAGCACTCACCTCTCCAGAGGGCCATCAGGTGCTTGCACACAGGCATCTCTGTCCTTGCTCCTTGGTGTGTCTCCTGCCTGCAGTTCACTGGAGGAGGGCTCTGTGCTGATCACAACTCTGTGCACCTCCTTCAGATGGCCGAAATAGACTCGGACATGACCAAACACTTTTGCACAAAACTCACAGCACACTAGCTTCTTAGGGCGATTTTCCCCATGGTGAAGTTTCATATGTGCGCTCAGGCTGCCGGGACGGACGTAGGCTTTACGACAGATCCCACAACTGTAAGGCCGTCTGTTGGTGTGTGTATTCATGTGGTCTAGAAGGTGGTGTTTGAACTGAAAGTGGTGGTTACAAACGGGACACATGTGCCAAGGCTTCTTAATGCCAGAGAATCCGTTTCTGAGCACAGAACTGGGCTTAGGGGCAGGGCTGTCACTCTGCTTGGAGCCAAGACATCTTGGAGGCAGTGCATTGTTCAGCAGAACACCCTGCCTGAGGCTGCTGGGAGCTGGGGACTGCAGGGCAGCTGCAGAAGATGCCAGGGGTGCCCAAGCAGACATGACGATCACGGGCTTAGGCATGATACTACGGTATTTTCTCGAAGCAGCCTTGGGCTTCTGGTCTCTGGGTTCTTGGGGACTGTCTCTCCCCCTTTCTACTCCATCTCCACACAGACCAATGATGTATTTCCTCCTTTTGCCCTGCAATGCTAAAATCTCATCTGGCACTTTCCATTTTCTTCCTCTTCTCTTTGGTGCTCCACTACTTGGCTTTACTTTGTGGCTGAGATCTAATTTGGTGACAGGACAGAAGGCACTTTCATAAGTATTCTGGTTTGGCCCATGCAGAGCAGTTATCTTGCTGGGTAATGTGGTGGCTGCATCAAATCTTTCTGTGATGGACAGTCTCTCATCACAGTGTGCCCTGCATCCAGATGAAGATAATTTGGCAAAATCAGCATCTGATTCCACTTTGTCCACCTCTGTGGCTTTCATTCTTGAGAAGGGTAGGATGGGCAGTTTACCCTTCGGTACTACAGAGACCAGCGGAGTCACACTGCTGAAGACAGTGTGTGTAGGAGCCACCTGTTCTTTAAGTTCTTCCCCAGCAACGGCAGGATTAGTGGGCGCCTCCTTCCGGGCACAGTCTGCTTTCAGCATGATTGCTGAGAGGTTCTGTGGGAAAGAGGAATCCTCTTTAGAGCATGCTGGGATGGCAGGAAGCTTCAGGTCTCCACAACTGTTGGTCACTAGAGAATTCATATCTCCTGGGCCAATACTACTGGCCAGTGTAGCTGTTTTGATGGTGGGGTAAGGGTTTACAGTGGGCATTGACTTGAACGGGCTGGTCTTGTGAGGCAGTTCAGGACGGGCTTGTGGGGAAGGGGACATTTGGCATGTCTGGGGTGGTCCAGGAGGTTCATTCCAGCTACTCTTGGGAGAGGTCAGGTCCTCTTTCTTTCTTAACCCTTTGTTACTTAGTGGTTGGTATCGAGGAATAGGCAGTTTAAGGTTTTCATGCAGGGACAATCTGGGCTTCTGAACTGGCTGAGCTGAGGTAACGTTCGGCAAAGCAAAAAGAGAAAACGTCCCCTCCTGGCCGGCCACCTGCATCAGAGCATAGTTCTGGGTGGGTATGCCCAGAGGCTTGGAGGTTAGAGCCAGACTCCCTTGGTCAGAAAGTGAGGAAGGACAGGGCATCACTCTGGATGTTAAGAATTTAGGCACAATTTTTGGTGCGATGGTCCTAAACTGACTCTTATTCTGTAAACTTTTCCCACTCTGTGCTGTTCCAGGAGGAATGTTTGATTCATCTGCAATGAAAATACACAGATTACTAGGGTGTAACTATCCTGGTACTGATACTTCATATCTAATCTGGGCTAGAGACCTGGCTCAGTGGATATGATATTTTTGTAAAGGACCCAATTCATTTCCCTGTACCCATGTCGGGTGGCTGTCTTAACTCCAGCTGCAGGGGATCCAATGTCCTCTTCTGACCCGTGCAAGCACCTGCACTCTACACACCCACACCTACATTACATATAATTAAAAAAAAACTAATTTTTCTATTCAGAATAGATTCCTTGGCCTGTTCCCACTTCTTAAGCAACTGCCTATGTCCTTCAAGGCAAGGTTTGAAGGTCACCTGCCCTGCTTTCTTAAGGACTGTAATTCTCCTCCACTGTTGCAACATAATTCTCCCATTAGAATGGCAACCATTAAAAAGAACTTCAGAGAGCTGAGACTCTGTTCTTCTGGTCCCTGTGCTCTGTAAGTTCTTCATCCAGTCTCTATCTTACCCAATTTTGACTCATCTTCACAAGTCAGAGCAATCTCACTTTTCTTCTCTGGAACATTCTACTGTGATTTTTGTTTCCTATATATGGCTTGCTCTCCCAGATGCTAAGCTTTATGAAGGTGAAACATACTAAGTTCATCTCTTATCACCCACTGCATCTCTGATCTGAAACAAATGCTGTTTTGCATCAACTGGCATCACTCTGGTTTAGGCTGTACCATTTGGTGTTAGCAGCGCAGTTTGCTTTGCAAAGTGATGAATTCCAGACTGAAGGTGGCTTTGATGCTGTTCCCTGTGTGGCTTGTGAAATTTCTTCTCACACCTTTGAAACTGTTTATGTATGTTTTTGCAATTAAATCATCAGCATTAAAAAAAACCTGATATGACACTTTAAAAAATGTTAATCATAACCAAGAGACACAGGATGATAAAGGTATACAGCTGAAGAGAAAACACATGAATCACACAGAAAGCACCTTCTAGGATACTAATAGGGACACTTTTAACTGATGGGATAACATTCTATTCACCCCAGATTTATTGGCTTGACCACAGAGCAATTACTACAACCATAAGAGAATAATTAAGGAAACATTTTGGTTCCCCATTCTGAGGACCGAATCATCCATTTTATTCCCCAAGGCCTCAAGGTCACAAGGCCTGGCGGTGGAGAAGTTTCTTATTTTTAAGTGCCTCATATTAATCAAGCTTGATGTAGGCTCACATGTACTAGCCGCATACCCTAATCTAGGAACTGGGCATTGCAAGCCCATAATCCCCTTTCTGAAAGATGTGGGGGTCACAGGAGGGTTGGAGTTTACACTTTCATATTTTAGAAAAGTAGTAAGATAGAAACACAAACACCAAATGTTCCACACAACCCAGCAGAATCTGCAAGCCATCCATAATTAAACCTACCGCCACGGCTGCAGCAAAATACATTAGCACTCGCAACACAAAAGGCAAATGGAAGTTCTGAATGGTTTTATTTCAGTTCAAGGATTTGCCTCTGAATGACTTAGGTACTCAATTTTGAAGCTTTGTATAAAGGATTTTAGAAACATTTGTTTACAGGATACCAAGGACAGGAATGTGGGGAGCTAAAAAAAAAAATCCATTGAAATATAGAGTAAAAGCTGTAAAATCAGCCCTTATTGACTGCCCACAGCTAGTGAGCCAACCACAGCTGGACCAGAGAGTTGCCTGTTAACACTATGGTAATAAGCAAGACAGTAGGAATAATTTGAAAAATATGACAACTTACTTTAGAAAGTTCTTTAATATTTGGCTAAGAAAATGGATGTCAGGTGTGGTCACAAATACCTTTAATCCCAGTACTTGGGAAGCAGAAGCAGGCAAATCTCTGATTTCGAGGCCAGCCTGGTCTACAGAGCGAGGTTCCAGGACAGTCAGGGCTACATAGTGAAACCCTGTCTCGAGGGCGGGGGGAAGCATGCTAAGAAACACATACATGTTACTTGCATTAGAGTAAGGAGGACAGTCCACACGGTAGCTCAGTAGCTGCATTAGAGTGAGAAAAGCATTTCACACAATCACTGCTTTACAGAGAGGACAGTGCTGTGGTGGAAGATGTTGGAAAACATTTCACATCCTTCAAACCAGGAGGAGAGGTGGGGTAGTTGACCAGACATCAGAGGAAATGATAATGAGAACAGTGCATGCTCCTGGAGTTAAACTGAAAGTAGTCAGAGCAGCGAAAAAAAACTGCAAGAGACATACTCACCGAGGAAGGAGTATGAGAGGAAGAGAGGGACAAAAAGAGACACAGACACACGAGAGCTGACTCTCAAAGGCAGGACACAAAGATGTCAACCCTAAGATAAGCAATCAACAGTGAGAGCCAAGGTTTCCTGAAGGCGCCTAGAGACTGATGCAGTGAAGAGGATTCTTACTTTTTATGACTAGGTATTAGAAAGCAAGCTTCTGAAAGGTTGGGTTTTCAGGAATGAAACTTGATACCTGATGCCACCATACCAGGTGGGAATAAACAATGACACACTTAACTTGCTCCATTGCTTTCCACGTCTCTTCACAACATGGTGGAGACAAAATTACATGGGAAAAGTAGTGATTTCAGAGAAAAAAAAAGGAGGCTGTGAACTTCACAGATGTCTAGGAGACAGGCCTCTGAGTTTGTCTTGAAAGCTTTCTGAAGAAGCTCAAAAATGGGGCCGAGCCACACCGAGTGGGCTGGGGTGCTGACTTAAATGCAAAGGATGAATGAGTAAGCAGGCTGAGCATCAGCATCCATCTTGCTCTGCTTCCTGACTGTGGATGCAATATGACCTCAGCCATTGTTGACAGGTTTCTATCCCACCTGATCCTGTAGCCGTTCAGTCCCAAAGAAACACACAGAGGTCTATATTAATCATAAACTGGTTGGCCTGTTAGCTCAGGCTTCTTATTAACTCTTACATCCTACATTAACCCATAATTTTGTGTTAGCCACGTAGCTTTGTACCTTTATCAATGAGGCGTTTTCATCTTGCTTCCTCTGCATCTGGGTGATGACTGCAGACTGAGTCTTTCCTAGAATTCTCCTGTTCTGGTTGCCCTACCTATACTTCCTGCCTGGTCACCCCACCTATACTTCCTGCCTGGCTACTGGCAATCAGCACTTTATTAAATCAATACAACTGACAAATCTTTACAGGGTACAAGATCATTGTCCCACAGCAAGTCATCTCATACACCCACCACTATTCTTTCCCTGGCATGTTATCCCCTCAAGCCTCAAGGCAACATAAACCCTCCTTCCTCCTCGCCCTGCCTTCAAGTTGCTTTTGCCAGGTATTTTGTCATGATAGTCAGAAGAGCAACTAACCAGAGGCCAGCTGTGGATGAGAACAAAGGCCATTCCTGGAGGTCCCCAGGTCTGCCCCAGCAAGGGAGTCTCTGATCATCAGAGTGAGCAGTGTGGGCAGCCTAGGTGATAGGCAAGTGGTAGCCGTGGAGCCCAATGCTGGGGATGAAAAATGTATCAGCTGACTCATGGTCACTGATCACAGCTATCACATCTGTGGGGTGAAGAACAAGCCTTACCAGCAATACTGAAATTAGGTATGCTGGCATGCATCTATCAGGAAGTGCATACAAAGATGAAGCTTCCTGTAAGTGTACTATGGTGTTTCATTGCTCAGAATCACTAAAGATAGGAACTGAAACCAGTGCATTAGTGTAAAAGTGAGGCAAGAGTGCAGAACCCCAAAATTGAAAGGAAGAAGACACACCAAACCCCAGGAACTACTTAAATGCCAATCAGGAAGCTAATGACAATCCAAACACAGTATTTTGTAGCCGTAAAGGAAGTGACAAATTGATACAGAATACTCTGAAGAGTTTTTATGGAAGAATATCCTGTCACTTAGACTATGAAGTCTGGGATTGCGCAAGTCAATCTATCCCAATACACAGTGGGGATAGCTATGGGAACAAGAAGTTGAGAATCAGCCACAACAGCAGCTTACCACTGCACTGCACTTAAAGACCTTTCACAGACAGCACAGTTTAAAGCCCCCCCCCCCCCGCCACAACGCGAAATCCCAGACTTTAAAAACTGTGCACTGAGTAACAAGGGGGAGAAGACTCCACTGGCAATTATAATTTCTGGGAATCACACATATTAGCCATATAAGAATTAAAGAGACTCACAGGACCCTGACGTACTAAAATGGCCTTTTATTAACTAAAAGCATAAAAGGCTCACTCAGTAAAATTAATTTTACTCAGTTATTCAACTAGAGCACTTAATATTCGAATTTTAAGTATGGGCTGTTTTCAGTGTTTTAAGTATATTAGAAAGGCCACTTTGAAAAGTGACCTCTACAGCCAGTGAGAACTGACTGACTGCGGAACAAAGGGGAACAGCAAACGCTGAGCACTCTAAGGCCTGACAGCTACAGCAGGTGTTTTAATTGAGCCCTCATTTAACTCCTTTACAGATTAGGAAAAGTGAGGCCATGGAGAAAACAGGCCAATGGACTGGGTGACATGGCCTGACCTCCTCCTTTTGAAGGAACAACTTGCCTTGTCTTTATTCTCCTGCATCCCAATAAATCCTAAACTAGATTAGCATTCCGAAATTTTAAGAAGAAAAAGAGAAGATAAATTGAAGCTGAAATGGCGTGTCAAGTCTGTATTCCAGGAAATGAAACTTCTAGGAGGTTAATGACTAGAGCTAATTTTTGTAAAATTGAGCTGTGTGAAAGAAAAGAAAGCTAACTTGTAGAGCTGAGTTTGTCACTTGCTGCCATAGGATTACGACAAATCCAGACGGCTGGAGACATTTGTGTGAGAACGAGTAACGTGTCTTTCTTTTCCTCCTTCATCAGCAAGATGCTGGATGTGCTGGGCACTGCTCACACGTTAGTGGTAGGGAGTAACCAACAGTGGCTCAAGAGCTCTAGGTGCCAATGTCGATCATCACCATCAAATCCCTCTCAAACACTGCTGTACTCTCAGGAGACAAGCCCAAGGGGTGATGTGCTACAT